CCCCCCCCCCCCCCCCCCAGTTTTCATGTTAAATCAGCAACTCAAGTTCTGCGATCAAACGCGGAGTAACCGGTGCTGTGAATCGTTTTTTCCTCCGTCCCGAACAGGAAGAAGCTAATAGCACATCAAGTAGTAATACTGGAAGGGTGAATAGAGAAAAAACAAAATAATACATTGTTTCAAGGCAAATACATATAAATATATATACACATTAATCATTGTAGTAGTACATTTCTCTATACTAAATTCATAGGATTTTTTTTTACATTGTATTACTAGCCTTGTAGCATACTGAAAGGTTAAATCGTTTTAGAACAACTTTGGAAATCTCTTTTGCAGGTGGGGGGTAGCGCGGTCGTTTCGACTAATTCACAGGTGTGGCGATCATTTTTTGCCTTTTACTTTAATATACGATTTTTTTTTTCACATCCCTTCTCAAGGTCAAGCTCCTATATAACAAATATTTTGAGCTCTGTTTGCTGATATTGTGTTTGGTAGGATCAACGAGCAAACGCAGGTTGCGTGTGTTCGCTTTGAACCATTGATTTCGTTGCTGTCGTATCGCGAGAGGGGTGTCCTCTGACATTATCCTCTACTGATTTTCCACTGACATCTGAAACAAAGGTCAAAAGGCCTATTATTATTTATTGCTTGAGTACTTCTGGCGTGGGCTCTTCTACAGGTATATAAAAGAGAAAGAAGTCTTTGCATTTTCCCACAGCTTGTTTGTTTTGCCTAAACTTTAAAAGGATCTATTTACCATCATCAGGAAAGAAGTAAATTTCACCTCATAAGAATATCAACCGAATAAACAGCTGTGATAAAACTCTGACAGCTAAAGAGTACAGATTTCCTCTCTATCTGGAGTGTTGCAACTGGAAATTGAGCTTTCTATTCGTTCAAGTCTGGGGTTAGGCCACTATCACCATCGTATCCGTAGCAAACTTTACAAATTAAAGCTAAAACCAAGTTTTGTGGCACGTATTCAGAGAAAACCTTTTTTCAAATATTCAATAAGTGAAGTCAAGTTCTTCAGGTTTCATTAGTTTATTAGTTTATTATAATTGCTTTTTATTATATTTCACAAACATACTCGGCGCAGCTGTGGTGAGAGAGTTGCGCAACCCAATACGATATTGAGAGGTAAAAACAAGGAGGTGGGTCGGTAAGGTAGAACGGCTGGTGATATTATATATATATATTTATATATATAGGAAAATTGCTATGTTAGAGAAATATATTTCTTCGCTGCTTGTTCCCTATGTCAGCAAGTATGTCGAGAATATCGATACCAACCAGCTAAACATTGACATTTGGAACGGCAAGGCCTCGCTGCATGATCTCGTGCTAAAGCCAACCGCACTGGATGCTCTGCTGCCCTCTTCCTCAGTGGAGGATGGGGAGGCTACGAAAGATTTGCCTCCCGTGCAGCTGTTTCGTGGGGTGTGCAAGAAGGTGAGCTTGATCATCCCCATTAAGCACCTTCGCTCGAAGCCGGTGGTTATCGAGATTGGCGAGCTCTTCATCACGTTGCGGGCGGCGTGTGGTGGGGAGGAGGACCCGAACCACGCAGGCGACGGCGCCCATGCAGGCTCTCGCGGGGTTCTTGATAAAGGCGCTAAATGGGATCGCATCTGCGTGCAGAAGGTCCGGGAGCTGGAAGAGTTCGAGCTGGAGCGGCGCCGGCAGCGGAAGGACGCTGCGGCTTCGACCGCCACAGACGAGGTGCAAAGCGCCCAGGCGAACACTGGTGGCGGCGGCTTTTTTGCCCAGTTAGGGGAGACGATTGTGAATAACATCATCGTGAAGGTTCAGACGGTACACGTGCGTTATGAGGATCCACAGCACCTCGTCGCGCTCGGGGCGATCCTCGGCGGGGTTCAGCTCCTCACCGTGGATGAGGAGACCGGGCAGGCGACCTTTGTCGACCCCTCCGGGCGCCAGAAGACCTCCAAGCGGTTGGCCTTCGAAGGGGTGCAGCTCTACTGCGATGATCCCACGCGGCTAACGCGCGGGGTGGGGAAATCGACGGGCGAGGAAGGGCCCTGGTGCTGCGAGATGGCGGACTGGGAGGCGTGGAGTCGCGCGATGCTGCGGCGCGCGTGCGAGGGCTGCGTCCCCCATTCCACCTTCTTCGGCCCCGTCTCCGGGAGCCTCGAGCTTCGGCTGGTGTTTCGCCGTTTCATGCGACAGCTCCTCGACACCCCGTACGCCACCCTCCAGGCGAGCTTCCCGAAGGTCACCGCCCGGCTCTCGCGCGCGCAGTACGCGACGATCGTCAGCACCTCCTCGCGACTGGCGAACTGGCGGGAGGTGCGCGAGGTCACCGCCCGACGTCCGAAGGTGCCGGTGAAGGGAAACGCGCGGGGGTGGTGGTGGTATGCGATTCAGACGGTGTTGAGCGCGCTCACGGAGCCGCGCCGCCGGCGTCTCCTCCAGCGCATCTCCAGCACCTGCCTGCTCGATTATCAGGTGCTCTACCATGAGGTGATGCGAAAGGTGGAGCTTTCCCCGGAGCGGAAGCGGACGTATCGTTTTATTACCCGTTTTATGACGGTGCCGGATATGATTGCGGGGCGCAAGTCCGTCTACGCCAAGCTCGCAAACGACATTCAACTTAAGCGAAAGGATCACGAGCAACGCAGGTCCGAGGCCTTGGCGGCGCAGATGCAGGAGCAGCCGAGGACGGGAGGAGGGGTGGGTTCGTCTAGATGGGGGATTATGCGGTGGCTACGCCCGGCGCGTGGGGCTGCCGACCCCAACCCAACCCCCGATCTCGACGAAGAGGAGGAGATGCTCAGAAACTTGGCGAGGGATTACGAGATCGATCTTTCCTCTGATGCGGGCGATGCGGAGTCTGGCGGCGGGGTGACGTCGAAGCTGCCGCCCGGCTACGCGATGCTGGAGTTGAGCTTTGATGTCCCCTTCGCGAGCTACCAGATCGACCTGGAGGAGGGGCTCGCGGGGGCGGCTTCGTCGGGTTCCACCTCGAGCGCCTCCCTCTGCTTCTACGAGCTCCGCGGCGGCGTGCGCGTCTTCAACGCGAAAAACGCCTGCGCCTTTCACTTTGCGATCCAAAACCTTTCCTTGTCGAACCCGGCGATAGGGTCCGCGGCCGACCCGGTGGTTCCCATCCTGGTGGAGGGCCTGACCAGGTCTCCCAACGCGTCAATGCGGGATCTGCGGAGTGCCGCGGCGGCCTCGGACGCGTTGGGTGGGGTTCTTTCCTCGTCCGAGGCGGGGCGGTCGACGAGGTCGGGGTTCCCTTCCCTACACCAGATGCTTCAGCTCCCTCCTATCAAAGGAACGGCGGCCTCGCCGAAGGATTCCCAGACCGACCACAGGGGCTCGCTT